CTAAAAAGACCTACCTAAATGGGAAAATGTAGTATGCTTATGGATTGTAATATTTAAAATTGTGAAAATGGCAATGCTGTCGAAGTAATCTACAAATGCAGTGTAATTTCCATCCAAATCCCTTCACCATTTTTCAATTAAATGTAAAGAGTCATCACTAACTTCATATAGAAAGTAAAGAGACCCTGGATTAGCAAAGTGATACTGAAAAGAAAAACCAAGAAGGATGCTTTTCTTTTTCCTTATCTCAAAACCTATTCCACAATCACAGTAGGTAAAAGCAACCATGTCAAAGCAAATTGGTACTGGTTCAGCAACAGATACATTCTGCTGTTAAATCCTGTCAGGTCAACTCTAACTAATAGTGACCCTCTGAACAATCTTTACCCTTCCTGTACCATTCACTCCATTTCTAATATACTTGAGCCCATTGTTACAGTCATTGTGTCAGTCCATCCTGTTAAGGGCCTTCCTGTCTTTCTCTGACCCTTTACCTTTCTGAGCAAGATCTCTTTTTCCAAGGACTGGCCCCTCCTGACAATATGCTCAAAGTATGTGAAATAATTCACCATCCTAGCCTCCACGGATCACTCTGATTGCACCTTCTCCAAGACAGGTGTGTGTTCTTGTGGCAGTCCAAGCGATATTCAGTACTCTTCTACAACACCACAGTTCAAAGGCATAGATGTTTCTTCAGCCTGCCTTTGAATAATTGATTTTACAAAGATGAAAAGCTTTCTGTGTAAAAATCAACTGAAAAAACATGGTTAATTTTTTTTATTTGCACATGGACTATGGGTAAAAGAATAGTGACAAGTGAAATGTAAAATAGCTTGTTGAGTCTCGACAGCCAGATTAATAAATTTGGGTTTCTTTTCTGAAACCTTGGAATTTTAACCTTCAGTAAATAGTGGGCTTTGACTAGCGGTTGATAGGAGAAGGCACTCAAGGCAGGGGTCCCAGTCAGATTGTTTTCGGAGCTTCTGGTAAGAGTCAAGAGGACCTAAGGAACAGGCTGCCTTTCAGATTTTGTGTATTGCTACTTTCCCTTTCATTCTAGCCTTTAGCTGCATATATCTCTCTTTGATTCTCAAATATACCAAGCTAATTTCTGATTTGTAGTCCTTAAATTGCCCAAATAAGACATCCATCAGATCTTCAGATGACTGGCATCTTTTTGTAATTCAGTTCTCAACTCATGTATTATCTTTTAAAAAAAGCTTTCTTGCACCACAAGACAAACAATCCAATTGAAAAAAGGGCACAGGATATGAACAGACACTTCACAAAAGAAGACATTCAGATTGCCAATAAGCACATGAAGAAATGTTCAAAATCCCTAGCTCTAAGAGAGATGCAAATCAAAACAACTATGAGTTATCATCTACCCCAGTCAGAATTGCAAAACTGAACAGAACAGCAAGCAACAAATACTGGAGAGGTTGTGGAGAAACTGGAACCCTTATTCACTGTTGGTGGGAGTGTGAAATCATGCAACTACTGTGGAGGGTAGGGTGGCACTTCCTCAAAAAGTTGCAAATATAAGCACCATTTGAACCAGCAATTTCACTACTGGGAATATACCCCAAAGAGACCATAACTGACATCCAAGCAGACATATGCACACCCATGTTTATCAAGGCTTTGGTCACAGTAGCAAGGAGTTGGAAACAACCTACGTGCCCATCAATAAATGAATGGATAGAGAAGCTCTGGTATATTCATACAGTGGAATACTACGCTGCATTGAAAAACAAGGAACTCATGCAATATTATTCAAAATGGGTGACCCGGGAGGACATTATGCTGAGTGAAATATTTAAGTGACAAAAGGACAAATACTGCATAGTGCCACTGGTGTAAAACAGGACTGACATTGGGGTTGGGGGGAGACAAAGAAAGATGGGTTCAATAATGTATACTTCATTGAAACAGATGAGGGGGAAAAACTGCTCAAAAGAGATATGTGATTAGAACAAAGGCTGCATAGTGGAGTGGACCTAGGGGGAGGGATTGTATAACAATGAAAGAATTTTTCTTATACTTTTCAAGGAGAAGAGTGAGCTTGGGGGTGGGGAGTGGAGGGGTGCGCAGGGAGAAAAGTGCAACAATGAATGAATGGAAACCCAAAATCTCTGTAAAAGTTTGTGAAAATTAATAAAATATAATTATAGAAAAAAAATTTAAAAAATAAAAGAAAGTTAATTAAAAAAAGCAAAATGGGGTACCCAAGAACAGACAAAATAGCAAGCTGGCACACTTTCCACAGTCCAGCCAGAGTTTTTCTCTCCCTAGGTCACAAACTTCTCAGGAAGACTGATCAATAACCTGCATTATGCAGAAGACACAAACTTGCTTCCTGAAACAGGAGGACCTGAACTCTCTGTTGCAGAAGATAAAGGACTGCAGTCTTAAATATGGATTGCAGCTCAACATCAAGAAGACAGATTCTTATCACTGGGCCAATTGATAGCACCATGATAGATGGAGAAGAGTTTGAGGTTGTTAACAATTTCATCTTGCTTGGATCCACAATCAACACTCTTGGGAAATCAAAAGACAAATTACATTAAGAAGGTCTGCTGTCAAGGACCTACCTCTCCAGAGTGTTGAAGGGCAACACTGTCAGTCTAGAGACTAAGGTGCACCTGATCCAGTCCATTATTTTCATAATTACTTTCTGTACATCAGAGAGCTGGACAATTACTAAGGATAACAAAAGAAGAGTTGCTGCCTTTGAGTTGTGGTGTTGGAGAAGAGTATTGAACTTACACCTTGGATTGCCAAGAGAACAGACAGATCTGTCCTGAAGAGGGTGCCAAGTTGCTCCTTGGAGGCAAGGATTTTAAAGCTCTGTCTCACATACTTTGGGCATACTGCTAGGAGGGACCCATCCTTAAAAGAAGGATATCATGCTTAGAAGGATGGAGGGACAGGAAAGAAAGATCATGAATGATATGGATTGAAACAGTAACTGGGGTGAGGGGGGTAGGTAATGGTAAGTAGTGAGATTGGCTGAGGATAGGGCAGGTTTCAGAGCTATTATGCTTAGGGTTGTTATAAGTCTCAGCCAACTGGAAGACACATAACAACAACCTAGGGATTCTTTCCTTATCTCCTTAATGGCCCATATCCCTCCTTCTCCCCCCTTATCTTGTTTGTATACACATTCTAGAAGCCCTGTGGTTTATCATGTCGTTTAACAACTTATGTTTTTTTTTGCATCAGCTCACAGCTGATGATAGGGCCTTGCTTGCCTAAAGTGAGGAACATTTGAAATGCTTGCTGCAGAAGATCAAACACTGTGGTGTTCAGTATGTATGTAAACATCCAGAAAACAAAGATTCTCACCACAAGACTAGCAGTCAACATTATGAGATGGAGAAAGGATAGAAGTTGTTGATAATTTCATCTTCCTTGGATCAACAGTCAACACCTGTGGCACTAGGAGTTACATGTATTGCATTGAGCAAATCTGAGGTCAGGGACTTCTCCAAAATGCTGAAAAGCAATGGTGTCAATTTGAAGACTAAGGTGTGCCCGATTCAGGCCAAGGTCTTCTAAATTATCTGCTACTCATCAGAGCGCTGGAAAGTGAATAAGGATGACAGAAGAATTGATTAATACCTTTGAGTTGTTGGTGCTGGAGAAGAGTTCTGAGTATCTTGGACTGCCAAAAGAGCAAGCAGAAATGTCTTGGAAAAAGTCCAGCCAGAATACTTCTTGGAGATAAAGATGCCAAAGCATCATCTTTTATACTTTGAACATGTAACTATTCAAGGTACTCCTTGGAAAGGGATCTCATGGGTGGAAAGATGAAGGATCGGTGAAGGAGAGGAAGAACTCCACTGAGATGGAAACACAGTGACCTCAGCAATGGTCTCTAGTGTTAGAGATGAGGAGAATGGTACAGAATAGATCAGGGTTCAGGTCAGTAATTCATAGGGTGACTATGAGTCATACTCAACTCAAAGGCACCTAACATCAACAACTCTGAAGATATACCAGTCTAAAGTCT